TGTTCCATGACAAAAATTTCTTCCCTGACTTTTAAAATAATGATGGTGGTCTTTTCTTTCTTACTCATTATTTGTATTTTAAATCTTTATATTATTATTTTAACCTTGCCATTTTATTTTTATTTTGTTTTTTATTGTTACTTGTGGGTTTCCCAGTTTGTGAAGCACAGAAAAGGTAGCTTTATAGAGATAACTGATGCAGTGGTCTATTGAGAATGTTGGGTTAGGGTGGGAGGTAGGGTGAGGGGACTTCAGGAGCAAACAATGAATGTGGGAAGGCGGGAGCATTAGAACAGATTGTGATTATGTATGTACGACTCATTTTAAAAGCAATTTAACCATGGGAGTATATGGTGTGTGAATGTTGTATCAAGAAAACCACGGGGGTGAAAAAGGAAACCAAACTTGACAATGGTTACCATAGGTGAGGGGAAAGAGTTGTCACCTGGGGGGCACTGAGTTTATGTCAATGGTGGTAAAATAATTTGGAAAAGGATATTGATAATTTTGTACAACACGAAGAGTATAATCAATAACACTGAATTCCACAAGTAGAAGTTGTGGAATTGTATTTTGTTGTGTATATGTTTACCACAATTAGAAAAATATATATATGAATTAGAATGACTATAAGGAGGAAGAAAATATTCTAGAATTGAATATGTTGGCAATTGTACAACTCTTGTTTATATGATTGGATTAATGAATTGTATGACATGTGGATGGAGTGCTAATAAAACTGCTACTCTTCTACCTGTATTTTCTCACTTTCTGGTCCGGTGTCTTTGCTGTTGGAATGTTCTTTCCTCCGTCTTTATCTTGTTAAAGCTTTCACCAGACTTCGAAGACTAACTCAATCTATTACTTCTTCCTTGAAATTTACTTTTCTCTTATCAATTATGATCTTTTTAGCACTTTCAACCTTTTATTAGAGTACTTAACTATTTTGTCTTGTTGTATTGTTAGTTTCCTCATCTTGTTAGGTTGTAACTTAATACAAAGATATGGGGACTCATGTATATAAATATTGACTAAGTTTTTTGCCTATATATTTCTTTTTATTATTATTAATCATTTTATTTGGAGGGGGCTCTAACAAATCTTATAACAATCCATCATTCAGTTGTATTAAGCATGCTTGTACATATGTTCCCATCAACATTTCCAAAACATTTTCTTTCCACTTGTGCCCTTGGTATCAGCAACTCTTTTTTTCCCCCTCCCTCTCCCACCCTTATGAATTCATGATCAATTATATATTTTTGTTGTTATTCCATGTCTTATACTGTCTGTTGTCTCCCTTCACCCACATTTCTGTTAGTTCCAATAAAAATCACCTGGGAATTTTGTCCTATGTAATTTTACTTTGATGTCATTTGCTTTAATTTCAATCCAAATTAAAAATAAAACATTCTGAATTTTAATTAAAATAGATTGCTAACTAGACTTACTTTTGTGTATGAGAATAAATTCTAGGTCGTGTTATGTTTCAGAATATTGCTATGTATTTAAAAAGAAAGAATAAGGTTCTTTTGGTTTGACATCAGGAACTAGGCATAATAGATACTTACCTTCTGTTAGATTTATTATTGGGAACAACATTTTTTAAAAATATTGCTAATTCCATTCATATTTAAAAGTTGACCATAACAGTAGGTTCAAATAAGAAATCTATATGTCCTTTGCCTAATAAGTATTCTGAGCATATGGCAGTCTAAAAATATTTGTAAAACCTTATTAAGGAATTACTGCTGTTTCAACAATTCAGAACTTTGACAACAAGTATTAACACTAATAATTCAGAATGAAGTACTAAAAGACGAGCTGTATAATGTGGTTCATGTTAGGAGTTTTAAAGTTATTTTCTAAATTTAAATGAAAAGGAATTTTAAATCATGACTTTGGTGTCTGGGCCTTTTTTTTTTTTTTTTTTTTAGTTCTTTAAGTTATTGTCATCAAATTGCTATAGAATATTCTATGACCATTTGCTTACAGTGTTTCCATTCTTAACCAAATGAGTTTCTTTGACCATTCTTTACATGCTAGTAATGTGTTTAGCAGTCAGGAGTTAAAGCTGCTGTGTTTAGTCTTTCACATCCAGATTTATTTTCAAAAGCTCTTAGTTTTTTCCTTTGAAATGTCTTTCAGATATATTTTTCTCTTTGCTGCTACAAATCCATTCTAAGCCCTTGTACTTCATAATCTATCATTTTATCTTTTTTCCTATTCAATGTATTCTATATTTGGTTATCAGTTTTTAAAAAAATAACATTTTTATAACACCCCTATGCTCAGAGGTATTTTATGGACTTCACTTTTATAGTAAAGATCATAGAGCATTTAAATTGGAATTATAAAAATCTTACATCTAAATTAGGTTTACATGATCAAGTTTTTTATTTTTCCTGCCAATTTTGTATGTTACTTTTAAGTAAGTAAAATAATACGATATTTATTTTCCTTGAATGGGGCAGTAAAGATAAACAAATTCACTGCCATCGAGTCAATGCTGACTCATCGTGACCCTATAGGACAGAGTAGGAGACTATAACTGATTTTGTTTGTTTGTTTGTTTTTAATCATTTTATTGGGGGCTCTTAGAGATCTTATAACAATCCATAAATCAATTGTATCAAGCACACTTGTACATATGTTGCCATCATTTTCAAAACACTTTCTTTCTGCTTGAGCTCTTGGTATCAGCTCATTTTTCCCTCATGATCCCTTGATAAATTGTAATAAATTATTATTTTCATATCTTACACCATCTGCTGTCTCCCTTCACCCATGTTTCTGGTGTTTGTCATCCCCCCCAGGGGTCAATCATTGTGATCTATCTGTTTCCCCTTTCTCGCCCCCTCCCCCCACCTTCCCCCTAACCTAATGGCATCACTACTCCCATTATCACACAGGGATTCCGTGTGTAGAGAGCTTTTATCTGTACCAGTGTACATGCTCTGGTCTAGCCACATTTGTAAGGTAGAACTGGGGTCATGATAGTGGGGGGAGGAAGCATTAAAGAAACAAGAGGAATGTTGTGGGTTTCGTAGGTGCTATACTGCACCCTGGCTGACTCAACCCTTCTGTGAGGGGATGTCCAATTGTCTACAGATGGGCTTTGGGTCGCCACTCTGAGCCTCCTCATTAGCATCGATGTGATTGTTTTGGGCCTTCTGATGCCTGTTACCTGATCCCTGTCGACACCTTGTGATCACACGGGCTGGTGTGCTTCTTCCATTTGGGCTTTGTTGCTTCCCTGCTAGATGGCTGCTTGTTTAACTTCAAGCCTGTAAGGCCCCAAACGTTTTATCTTCTAATAGCCAGGCACCATCAGCTTTCTTCACATTTGCTTGTGAACCCATTTTGTCTTCAGTGATCATGTCGGGAAGGCAAACATCACAGAATGCCAGGTTAGCAGAACAATGTATTCATGCTGTTGAGGGACGAATTGAGTTAGAGGCCCAATGTCCATCTGCTACTTTGATACTTAACATATAAATACGTGCATAGACATATCCCTATCATTATATATTAATATATTTACATATGTACATGCCTATATTTATACTTCTGTTTCTTCCTCCTAGTTCTTTCCTTGATTTCCTTTTACTTTCCTCCTGTTTACTATCATAATTGACCTTCATTTGACTCTCAGTAATTCCTCTTGTCTACACTGCACTTGATCAAACCCCACCAGCCATTCTACACATTCCTCACTATTGATTTTAGCTCTCTTGTTGTTCCCTTGTCCCTGGGTTTGTTGGCTATCCACTCCCTTTCCCCTACCTCCTTCTTTCCCATGTCCCCCCAGAAATGGTCCTGTTGTTTTCTCCTTGGGATTGTAAACAATCCTGCCTATCTTATATAGATAGACATGGAAGGGGGGAAAAAAGCCTATAAATAGTTCCAGGTCTGTCTGCTGACCCTTTTGAATGTATTCTGATCAGGTCTGATGAGGTGTCAGAATTCTATTTTGGGGATTCCTCTGGGACTTCATTGCTTTGTTCCCCTTGCTGCTCTGTTGCACTCCCTTTGTATTGCACCCCAGTGTAAGAGGGGTGTGTGTGTCAGACTGAGCACAATTCCCACACTGTCTCTCCAGTGCTGTTCTCTGTAGCACTGTGGGTCAGTGAGGGGATGTTGTGTCTCATGGTGGGGCCGGCCCTATGATCCTCTCTGTGCATTGGCTGCTCCAAGCAGAAATGTCCTCGAGGCTTGGTGGGCCAAGATGCAGTTCTTCTCTCTCTGTGTCTCTTTTAGTTTGCTCTCTTGTGGTCTGCGTAGACCCGCCACTCTCCCCTGGCTATAGCTTTAGTGCTGTCCTTTGTAGTACATTCTTCTGGGGAGGGGATCAACTTGGCTGGGATTGGGACCAGCCCTGCCAGAAACTGTAAGTGTTTACAGGAGTGGAAAGCCTCATAAAAAGCCTCATCATTCTCCCTCAGAGCTGCTGGTGATTTCAAACTGCCAACCTTGCAGATTAAAGCCCAGCTTTTTTTTTTTTAAATCATTTTATTGGGGGCTTGTACAGCTCTTATTATCACAATCCATACATATATCCATTATGTCAAGCACATTTGTAGAAATATTGCCATCATCATTTTCAAAATGTTTTCTTTCTACTTGAGCCCTTGGTATCAAGGCTCATTTTTTTTCCTCCCTCATGAACCCTGGTATTTTATTTAAAAGTTTTTTCATGTCTTAGACTGACAGATGTCTCCCTTCACCCACTTTTCTGTTGTCCATCCCCCTGGGGGGTTATGCAAATCATTGTAATTGGTTCCCCCATTCTCCCCCCACCTTCCCCTTCCCCTCCTGGTATTGCTACTCTCATTAATGATCCTGAGGGGTTTATCTGTCCTGGATTCCTTGTGATTCCAGCTC